CATCACTACTTTAGAATGTCGATTTCATTCAAAACTCTTTCTGTGTTAAGGAATCCTACTTCAAAAAGAAAGCAACTGCTTAAAATAATAATTGTAATAACAATAATAATAATAATAATAATTGTAATAACAATAATAATAATAATAATTGCTTTTTAATGCAAGGGATTAAAATCCATAAAACCAAAAGCATTCCATAAAAATGTATGTATAGAGCAGCTTAATCCTTTCTCTGTTCAGAGAGCATCCATCTGGTGCACACTTAGAGAAGCAACGTTTGCCAGCAGAGAACCCCCTAGATATAGACAGCTTTACCTTTCAAATGTTCCAAAATTAGAAGTGACCTTCCAGTGGGGCACTAGAGCCACTCTTTATATTGCAGAACATTGCATATTGTCTAAAAATAATACAGGAGAACATTAAAGGTCCCCTCTGCCTTTTTGTGTTACTATTGGATTGTAAGAAGCAAAAAGAGTTCACTACAGAAGCATTGCATGTCATGCTGTGAACAGCATCAGCAAAGTCATTTCTGGCACATGCTGCTTGTGTGTGAATGAGGTACAAAGCTTCAAATCCAATAAAAATAATTGCTTTAAAGGATTCTTTGCCAGAGGACTGAATGAGTGCATTGATGGGTTTAAAATGTATCCACAAGGGCTAACCCACTAGACATATATAATATAGGCCCTATGGAAAAAGGTGTGTTCAGGTAAAATTATTTTAAGTAAAAATACATAGGATTCCAGATTTCTAATCTATGGTGGCTACTTGCCAAGCAGGAACATTTTTAACAAATGTTTGCTGAGTTTAAGATTATTTGTGAATGTTGCAGAGAAAAGTAGCTATTAACTTGTGTTATTTATTGTTTTAGTATGGTTCTGATTTTTTCTGACTTCAAACTGCACTATGACCTCAAAACTAGTTTTGGAAAGGCACAGGCAAGGCACTTTATGCAAATTCACTCATGACTGCTGAAGAGCAAGGAAATTGTTGCTGTCCGCATTGGTCGAGCTAATTTTTGTGTGTTTTGCAATGTTAATCGTCTTCTTCAGAATTTCAATATGCTAGTTTCACGAGTCCCAATTAAAGTAAGCAGGGTGGCAAGTTCAGAAAACAAAGCAAAATTAAGGTATATTAACAGCTGGATATTTTAAGCATGTTCAAATCTGTAAAAATAGTGGAAAATATCAAAATAAAGTATTACTATCATACCCTTTGCCCTTACTCTGCAGGACATCCAGTGCACCTAGTTGTACTGTCCAGCTAGGATCATTCAAGGCACAGAGCACTTGACCGGAAGATTCCATGAATCACCCTGGAACTGTTTTCCGGATCGTAAATATGCTGCTGCCCTGTGAAATGTCAATCAGGTATCGCTCGGTTCCCTGACCATCAAACAGAGCGCTATTTGGAGGGGAGATCAGGGAGGTGATGAGGCATCCAAAGACACCAAGGTCTTGTTGGATCTCACTTTTTCCAGAGCCAAAGGAAGCTGTTATCAATAACTGGGACTTACCACCAAACATGATGGAACTCGCGACGGATGGGAAAATGCTTGCGGTCTGATTAAACTTAATCCAGCAATTGCTAGGACCCGACAGCTCTGATCCAGGTACTTTTTGGATAGTTTGTCCATCAAAACCAGAGTACTAAGCGTTTCTCTCGGTTATATTTATTTAGTTTTTTAACTATCTTCTACCGGGTGCAGGGACTATTTTTATGAACAGCACCAAGGACTTCTGAATCTTCCGGTCTAGTTTCAAAGTGAATAAATGTACTTATAGTACAATATAGTTACAATATGTTTTCCACATATTACCCTATTCTGGGGTAGCAGCACATTTTTAATGAAACATTGCATTTTGATTGAGCCACTTACTGGTTTGGTGAGAGCTTACCACAGCCTGAGTCTTCTGAGTGCAGTGCATTATCATTGTTTGGTATTTAGCGGTTCAGTCAATCTTAATGTTCTGACTTTTGTTAATGGAACATGAGCATACCCCACAAACGTCTGCCTTGCTGGAGTTTACGTGTCATGTAGTTTAGCACTTGGATGCAAATTGATTCATCAGTTAAGACAAATGGAGCTACTGCTTTAGCTGATAACAGCTGCACCGTGACTTCTATTAGCTTACTGACAGCTTCATTCATAAGAGAGCAAAAAGAGCACTAGACTCGCCTGGACATGTATGTGGCTGCCTTAACCATACGCTGTTCATTCCAACTCAGTAATGTACTTGGATTTAAAAGTTAGCATAAGCTCCCCTTTTGCAATGCCTCTTAGTAAGTGAAGCTTCTAGCTGTGGTGACACTGATAACTGCTGTGATTTTTCCTGAACACAGCAGTTTAAGACCTTATGCGTGTGGACACACAGTGACAGAAGACTTATTGCACTATACATTATGCAATGAGCACTGAGTGGTTGGAGTCCCTTTAAGCTCACTGACCATATTCAATTCTACCAGTAAGTTAATTTACATGAAATACCCTGTTCAAACCATTTTACAAGGCATTTGTCTTTCTAGAGTCAAAATGTATTAACTGGAGCACATAAAAACAAGCCATTTACATTAAACGAAGAATAACTTATTTAATGTGTAGGTTCAAAATACAAAAAAACTACGTATCCAAACCATGATAGTTTCTTATTAGACACAATAAACATTTATTATAAAAAAAAAGCGCTAACTAAAATATTGTAAATTCCAGTTGCTTTATCTTTATGTTGGTCTATATGATCAGTGTATTGTTTGTTTGATAATTACATCCCGTGTAAAAATTCCCTAACAGTAAGTGTGTGGGGATTCCAGGCCTAAATAATTTGAATCAAGTGATATTATACATTCAGAATGGGTGTCCTAACTATTAGATGCTTAGTGTGACAATAATAAGTTTAAATTACATTTAATAAACCAGTTACTCTAAACTGTGTGTGTGGGGGGGGGGAGGGGGGGAGGAGGGGAGGGAGGGAGAAGTTAAACCACTGTTTCTTTTATTATCATTTCCAACAGGGAGCAGTTAACTTAGCATCACAGATATCGGAGAACTATTTTTGCTGAGCCAGTTCTATGGGTGCCAGGTGCCCCAACTGACAAGGTTAGACATAGCTGTAACAGTAGGAAGTATTTAAATGAACATCCTAACTGTAAATTATGTAGTGAGCTGAACAAAGTTAGAAAAACTTAGTTTTCTTCCCATATCTCTCACATTTATATTTATTAATGGTGGTTGTAGAAAGTTGCCTAGCTTTGGTAAAATTAATATTGCATTGATTAATAGTGTAATATTTAAAGGCTCAATAGTGGTTTTACACTTGGAATGGTGTGCTAGCATATTACCAGTTACTGCCGCATACAACCTTAAATGCACTTGGCAAGATCATCGTTACTAATAAATACGCCTAGCGGATGAGTGACATCTAGTAATTATATCCAATCATTACTTGTCTGAGATCATAATCTCTCCACTGACTGGTCTTTAATGACACGTTCACTAATGTGTTATGATGTGACGGAAACAAAATATCTGAAAGAAGTAAAATATTGGCAAAAGTAGGAGGAAAAAAGCACAGGAAACTAAAAATAGCCATATTTGCCAGGAGATGACAAAAACTAAACTGTGAGAAAGCGTAAACACACTTAAACCTTTAATCACAGATAAATAAAATATTCTTCAATAAGTAGCCAACATTCTGCTTGATCTAACCGTTAAACACACCATATACAGTATGCAAGATGACTGTCTCTACTTTTGGTGACTAAGGGTTAAGCCAACATAGCATGTAATAAGAATAACGTATCGATACCATTGTGGGAAAAAGTTCTAGAAGTGATTCAATCACATTGGAAATCAAAGAAATACCCGTTTCTTTCTTAATTTCAATCACTTCGCACTATAATTGCTCTAATCGTTTGTCTCTCTTTGACTCCAGTGCAAAATTCTAATGGTAATTAATAATGCTTAAAAAATACAGCATATTATTATTTCAATATTTTTACATATTCCATTGATTTTCGATAGGAGATATCACAATACATCAATGATTCAAACAAAAGCTAGTCGCTTTATTTTTAATTCGATAATAAAACGCCTGCCATTGCAATAAGCTATTTCCTTTTTAAAATGTACCTTTCATATATTTTTCTCTTTGCCCTTGACTCAGATACATCTTCTTGGGTTGGCTGTTGAGGTTTAAAAGGAATGCTTTGCTGCTTTAAATCTTTATTTTACCCAGAACCTCCTAATCACCACCTAAAGAGGCCAAACTTCAAATAGTGCGGTATCAAAACTATGCTATGGCAAGACTATTTCAAGGTTCAAAACAAGTCTCCCTGAAGCACACAGAAAATGTCTCACTTTGAATCTAGATCACATGCAGTCCTGGAAATCTAATTTCAGCCTTAGTTGCTAAATGTGCAACATCAGTCTCAATATTTTAAAGGTTACACTGCACAGCAGGCTTTATCAAAGTGTGGTTAACACTCCACTGCAATAGATTTTCATTGCCTGGAATAATTTATATATGTGTGTGTATATGTGTGTGAGATTCGACTTTATGCATGTTTTTTTTTCTTCACACTAACGACCTCAATCTACTGCTATCATACTTAAATGATGTAACATATACCTTTGCCAGTGTATCCGTCATGCAAATACCTAATTACCTGAGACACTCCTTGTACTTCCTCATTCAATAAATATGAGGCTTGCCAAGAAAATAGATCTCTTCATCACCATTCTCAACACAGAGAAGGTCTTACTGAGTATTACACTTACATATAAAATATGAACTAAGAAAATAAATACAGTGATCTGCAATTGAATACAAAGAAACACAAATCAGGAATTGATTAAATACATTTTAATCCTAATTTATTATTTTAAAGTAAGCAAAAAAATGAAGCAATTGATGGGTGATATTTATTGTCAAAGATGAAGATATCGACAACATCTCTTAAATGAAAATGGATAATATAGTTTTAATTAACTATTAGTAACGGCCACATGAGAGTGGGACTCTTTAAGACATAATGCATGGCTATGCTTGGCTAAGTGTTTGCCAAGTAAATCGAAATCTGTAAGTCATGACCCTTAGTGCTGTGTGTTGGTATCCGCTACTATTGTGAGCAAAAATAAATATAAAGGCTATTAATACTGCATCTTATCCAAAATTATACTTGTGGCAAAAAGCCCTACTGCCTCAATAAAGAAAAAAAAATACTTTTAAAAACCCATACGAAACTAAGGCAGGAAATATTACTATCTCTAAAATATAGATTTGCCATCACAAAAATCAGTTTATGGGCCAGTAGAGTAAGCTCGCTCTTGCATGCATTTGCTTTACATATGGTACTTAAAGAGCTAATTATATAAGGCTTCCTTAAAAAAAAACATTATAAGAAACTCATCCACTTCCCAACTGTATAAACTTCTCAGTGCAAATATTTTTGTTTTTAAAAACTATTGTGTGTCAAATGTTAAACATCACAAACATTCTGCTGGGTAAATTACACGTTTTATCTAAAATGCAAAGTCCCTGTAATTTACATTGCAGTAAGCTAAATTGTTACAATACAAATCTTCAAAATAAGTCATTACATGTCTGCTGTACACACAATGCATATTTTATGGGTAGCTCCATGTAAATCCACTGAATGGTATATTGTGAGAGCTGTATTTGGCATCTTAGCTCCCAAGATCCTCAGCCATCCTTATGCACCGTGAGAGGCATAATCCAGACCAGTATTCAGGCTGCCTGAGCATGATGAGGACAGCCTACAGTTCTCTGGGTATGAGAGTCACGGGCCACAACAACTGTAATGTTAAATGATACCCACCACTGTTATAGTAACACTATCAACTTCTTGCATTCTATGAACAACAGCACAATTCCATTATACTCCAGTGAAAGGCAGGTCCTGCACACTGTTATTATAAACAAAACTCCAGGCAGGCACACCTACAGCAAGGTATGCACACCGACAGCACAGTGCTGTGCAAACCAATGCTAGCCCCAGCCTGCATGCATAATGCAAAACGACTACATATTACAACGCAGACTTAACCTATTTCTTACAGGGAAACTGGGCTCTGGCCAACAGGCTTAAGCACAGGGAATTCAAAGGGACAAACTCTTATTGCAAGTGACAGATCCCATGCAGGACTTTGTCCCCAGTTCATGTCACACAGCATGTGACTTACCATTATAACAGCCATGGGATTGATTCCTCTCCATCTGTCGGGGGGGGGTAAGAAGGGAGTCCCTGCTCTGTTTTATCCATGCAGAGACAAGTTCAACAGCCCTGGAGGGAGTTAGGTAGGGGGAACGCAGTGCCACTCCCATCAGCCCACGCCAGCTGGCTAGGAGTGATGGGAGTCGCTGTGCAGCTTTAGCACTGGACACATTGCCCATGGGTGCCAAGTATCTTTTTTTTTAATATATATATATATATTTATATATTCCTTACTGCATAACCCCAATTAAAAGGACTTGGATTTAAAAATAAAATCCTGCTAAGGGGGCTGTGGAAGAATTTGGGAGGGGTGCTGTCCTTACCTTAGCCGGTCCGGTTGCAGGCAGAGAGGGAGTAAAGTGACAGTAAGCTGTAGTGCCAGCTGCAGCCGCTCTGATTGTTGATGCTCTTGCTCCCACTCCGTCCCATTGAATGAAGCTCCACTCTGTGCGGCGCATGCGGGGTGGGCGCCAGGTGATGGTCCAGCCAGCAGGCAGTGTGTGACCCTCTGGGGCTCATGCACAGGTTCTGTCCCCAAGGCGTTCAATGACACGACTCAGTACTCGTAAGAATAAAACAAATACTATGGTGCCTATCGTAAGCATAATAATAATAAAAATAAAAATAAATCACTTTTTTAAAATATATATATATATTTTTCTTTTATTAAGGTGAAAGGAGGGCAAGTCACAGAAATGTATAGACAAGAGAGGAGACAGTACTATAAACGTGCCAAGCAGGATAACATGATTACACTGCTATATGGTAGTTCTAGAATGGTGAAATTAAAATGTTTCCATTCATTATAGCTGGCAGTAATACCTGCCTTCAAGGTGATGTAAACCTCTATCAGTCTTCATCAGTCATTTAGGTAGGTAGAATTCACTGCACCTTCAAGGTAGGTACTCCCAATACCCATTAATCCAAACGCCTAATTATACATCTCACATAGGCTACCCTGACCCCAAACTCCATTAAACCTCCTTAATTTAGCAGAACAGTTTACAATGAAGCCATAATGTAGTGTGAATACAAATGTGACATTTACAATACACATTCCTGCCCGCAGTTTGTTAAATGTGCATGATTTGGCAATAGGTGGATGTAGGATATTTAAGGACATTGAATGAAAAAGTTTAAAGGGTTTCATTAAATCCAAGCAACTTCTTATGTTAATGTAAATACTGAATAAGGAGCCTAAGATATACTTCTTTCTTACATTTTAAGCAGAAGTCCAACATTTTTGTGATAAATCTACATTGATCCACATTTCCTTTGCTATTTCTTCTTCATCCTCTTATAGGGCTCCACAGGGACCAATTACTTAGATATTAGCGCCACCTATGTATAGGGGTAGTTAAATGATTTACAGAAAAAAAAAAATTACATTGATACCCCTTTTGTTTCAGGTAATTGTTTATTTTCTTTTCACATTATTTTGTTTATCCTTTATTATTAATTTATTTTTTTATTTGTCATTCACCTTTTCTACCCTTGTACTTTCCCCCCTATTGTGATGTGTTGGAGCATCTCTAGTGGGGTTGATTAGTAGTATAGATATTGCTCAGGATTGAGATCCTGTACAATTTCTGAATTAGTTAGTTTACAAACCATTACTAATGGATACATTAAAATAGAGCGCCCAGGGTGTTCTTCTTATTAGGTAAGGGGACATGGTGGTAACGTTCCAGATTCCCTCATAAAACAAGTTACCATATGAGGGTTAATAAAATAACAAGGCAGGCTCCCTGATCCTTTTGTGATATGGTTAATTAAATAAATGTGGGGTGCCCAGGACCCTACGGGAGACCTACTTAATATTCCTTGATATGTAGGGATAATTGTGGTGCAAAATATTAATTATAATATTTTGTGAAAATGATAAAAAATAATTCTCACAAGTGATGACTAACAGAGTAGAGAACATACAACTCCCCCGTGTTGAACTATGGGCTCCACAATGACCAGGTGGCAGTGCTGGGCATGATTCTTTATTCATTCCAAAGTTCTGTAGGACAGAGGTTATCTCTAATTAGACTGGCTCACATAGATCCCTATTAACCAGGAAAGGGCCCATGTGCAGTCTGTTTCGAGTAAACTAATGAAGGGTGAGGACCCCTTCTTCCTAACCTATGTGTCCACCTGCCCCTAAAGTGACACTGCAGACACTGTCATTACTTCATTTCATTGAAGTGGTTATAGTGTGGGAAGTCCCTGTCACTGTCCTTCCAGTCAGTGTTAAGCAGCCCATCCCCTCAGGATGAGGAAACATTAGTCTGAGCAGCAATGGGTAGCTGTGATTGGCTGGGAGTGTCAGCTGACCACTTTGAGCCTATCAGAGTACCCTTAGCTGGTATGAATTGGTATGGCTACTAAAATTAAGTGTGTAATCCCAGGCAAGTCATACTTCCTGTAGGGGTTAGGCTGAAGATGTCCAGGGTCCCTTATTTAGTGCTACACTGATGCTCGGAAATGGTTTAACACTAATAAAAGGACAGTGCTAGTGGACTCCAGGCACTATAACAAATTCAGTGAGATGAAATATAGTGATTTAAAGTGATTTCAATAGGAATTTCAGAACTTAGACCAAAGTAGCTTAATTTAAAAAAAATAAAATGTTTTCCGTCTTGCTGTTTTGGCCTAAATTTGAAATTCACTTTGAATTGCCAGGCATGCTGACTTTAGTAAATAACTCTGTTCGTATATCTCGTTTTATACGTTCTAATTGCTGTAATGGAAATGTTTGTAATTTAAGAAATGTGGGCCTCCTGTGTGATTGCCTCCTTAAAAAAATAAAATTTATGTACACAAGATATATAAAAAAAATGTTATAGGCATTAGCTAAAGAAACTTCCTTTTGATATATTGGAATCTATTTACAAGAAGGAGAAGTGTAGTCAGTTCAGAGTCAACTTTCAAAATGCAGGATTTTATAGAAGAGAAGAAAACCCAATCTGGGCCAATTTGTATATATTTTCTCAACTTCGTTATATTTCTTTTATATTCTGTTTTCCAAGTCACCATAAATTGCAATGCCCCACAGAGCTCACTAAATGTGCAATTTCAATCATAATATATTAAATTAAGTTTTAGTTATTATATATTTGTTAATATGTCTCAAATAATATGTGCAAAACACAAAAAATATATAAAATATTTATAAAATTATTTACACAATTGCAGATATAAAGGATAAAAAAGTTAACTCACTCAGACATGTGACAAGAGACAGGAAAACTTAAAATATGTGTTACTCACAAGATATCTATTGGAGAAAAAGATAAAATACTGATGGAGCACTATGACAGGGACCTGCGATCCCCAAAATATGGTCAGGAGAAGCAATGCATTTGCTTCACAACGTAAAGCAAAAGACAATATTTTATTGAATCGCCTTATGGTATTAATCATTATTAGGATCATAAGACTGTAACATTGAATGTTTTGTTTTGTTCTTTTGATCCTATAAACTATTGTATTTTGCTACGCTCTATGAAGCCTATGCATTGCATCATGTGACAAGAGATAGTGTGATATAGATGCAATAGAAGTACAAATTTTATAGGGCAAGGTCATGAGGATAAGTCAGTATGTGGCACATCATGGTTCATATTACAATGCTATGGAAAAACCTGATTGTCAAGGTGACTTTTAAAACAGGTCTTGAAAAATGAGAGGAAACAGCAATAGAAGGGAGAAAAATGAATGAAAAGAGAATGTACAGCACGCAAGATAGATAATTATTGGCAATGAAGCATAAAAAATGAACAAATAATCAAAGATTAAATAGAAAGACCAGTTATTATTCGGCATAAAATAATCAAACAAAGTACAATGAAAAATAAAATAAACAAAGTGGTATAATCAGAATGAAAAAAAAAAGCATATTATACAGTATTTATAGACAAATCTATATATATAGTATTGGCAATTAATAAAAAAAGGAGGAGCACCTTGACAAATAAATGTGGCTGTATATTGCTAATAGTATACAAGCTCAGTATACAAGCTCAGCATTAGGGATACAAATGAAATCTAGAGCAAGAAATGGACAGAATAGCGTAATACAGTTACAAATGAATATTACATTGTTAGGATATTGCGCTCACGAGAGCTAGTTTAATAACAGAGTTCTTGTGTGCCGCCACAATCTTTGGGGAGCTGGAAGGGACCTAAGGCCTAATACCTTGGATAGGGACTAACTATATTGGTGGTGGGATATTATTTTATATTGCGAATGGAGCATTAGAAATGACAAGCTATGCATCACGTATAAATGTCAAATGTAGGCCCAGATTTAAAATTTTTGGATTTTCAAATGATTTAATATTTTGGAAAATATTTAAAATATTGTTAAATTTAGATTTTTTTTTCAAATATTTATATTTTTGTTATATTTGATATATTTTGATAATTTAACCTTTTCATTTTTTATAAGGTTTACCCCCCAAAAATGAAACAACTTGAAAAACATTTAAAAAAAATATTAAAATGGGGACATAATGAGATTAAAAAAAAATATGGACAGATCTTATAGAATCATAAAATAGTAAACGCTGGATGAAGCAGCAAACAAGAAGTAAGGCAAGCACCATACAGTTTAGCAAGCTATGATTAAGTTGAAAGAATTGGTAGAATGCTATGTTTCGCTTAAAGGGCATCTGTAACTTTGCAGATTTTTAAAAATTATGCTATTTTATCGTGTATGTTTAACAGACATGTGCTTGTGAGTTATAAAAAATAAAGATAAATCTAGAAAACCCACACTGCTGTGTTGAG